TGAGAAAGAGCAGTTTGAGTGCTGTGTCTCTGCTTATAAAAAATGCTTACCAAATGTTTTTATAAAATATGTTGGTAAAAGAAGAGCTTCTGGTGTTAGTACTCTTAAATTGAGAAATAATTCTTCCAGGCTGTTCAAAAAAAATCAGTCAGAATTCAAATCTCACTTTTGAGGACTTGAAATTTATCATGGGATTCTGTAACCTCGAACAGGAAACTCTGTTAGCAATTTGGAGAAAATTTACATTCTGTTCCGAGTTCAGCCTAGCATCCCAGACCTATCAATATCTGTTCGTTGTTTTTCCGTCTTGTCAAAAGCAGGTTTTCCCTCCCAGACAACTTTTCCCTAAAAGTATTATCTTCTTTGTTAAAAGGAATCAGTTTATCTGTTCATGGAAAACTCAGCCCAACATAATACACTCACTCACTTTTTATTATGATGAGTCAAACTTTGAAGTAATCAGTGTTTTTAAGACAGACACTCTACAAATTTCCGTATATATTTTAGCCAAAGGATAAGTGCTTTCCTGTTTTCATTTTCAATTGGTCGCCCCTTAGGAAAATTTTCAGAGTGAGAAAACAAAATATAAAGTGAAATAAAATATTTAAAGAAACATTGATTTATGAAACAATTTCAGTTTGTACCTTTGATAATTTGCTGGTTCTCTTAAATGCTCTTTTAGGTATTAATTAAATACCAGTGTAACAATTTAATTGGGTATTTTTTGACATCAAACTAGAACAAGAAAGTAAAATTTGCATAGGCAAAAGCTTCAGGATAATTGGCTTAAAAATAGAATATATTCCATTATTCCAAAAAACAAATAGTGGGGAAAAAAGAGTAAAATATGTGTCATGCATTGTGTTCTCACTCTACATTGAAAGAGAAAATACTAAAATAAGTAAAATTTTTACTTTAGAAATAATTTTTCTTTTAATAAAAAATGATAGGCTAATAGTAAATTTTTTTTTTAAGTTTTTGCTATACCTTTTACACTACTGAGGAGTCGACTGCACTAGCAGCTTTTATTCACAAGGAAAAGCTTATGTGGTCATGTCATTGATTACTGATTTTAAGACCCACCCCACCCCGAAGAATCGATGACCTAATGGATACACTGTATACTCCATCCAGTGGAGTATACTGGATGGAGTATACAGTGTATACTGTATACACTGTATACAGTATACTGTATATACTGTACACAGTGCTCTCAAACACATCTGGCTCTGTTGCATCTTTCTTGAGGGGGTAGTCAGAACTGCACACGAAACCGAAGCTGTGCTGCCGTGGTTTTTCATAGAAGCAGGACAAGAGCGTAGACTTTTTCTGATGCTCCTTCTGGTGTTGCCCGTTCCAAGGCCGTTTGGCCTGCAGCATTACAGACAATCTCCGTTTTTCATCCTCAGCACACTCTGGCAGGTCCACTTCCTGAGTTGCGACCAATAGTCAGCATTCCATACGTGCGCTTTACTCCTGGAGGCGTTGCGTGTACAGACTCACTTTGGAACACTATGCCGCTTTCCTGCTCATTTGCACAAGACTCCTGGGAGCTTCCTGTTATCTATCCTCATGGGCTTCACTTTCCACTTCCTAGACACTTAAGGGATTTCACAAACTGTTCGTGCGTGATTCAAACTGCCCCGACTAGGGACGATTCCTCATGAGCATAGCTCTTACACTTCTCCATTTGAGGTGTACCAACTTCTCCCTACTCCTTGCTTCCTTTGTTAATGCTAATTCTTTTTTCACAAAAAAATAGGGACCCTGATCCCAAGGTGATTTTGATTAAGTAATGGCCTTTGGTATGGAATCTTGTCAAAGGCCTTCAGAAAATCTTTCTCTTTTCCCTCCTTCTCTTCAGCCTGTTATATCTAGTGAAAATGTTCTTTAAAAAGATCCATTTGTATTTAAGTCCTTGGTGCCCCCATTCTCCATTGTGGAGTCAGTCATCTCCACTTACTCCCTAACCTCCTTCAAGGTTTATCCAATACTGGGGCTGAACAAGGTCTAAACTCACCCAATATTGGTGTGCTTACACCATGATCTACATGCCTGCATACCCCCTGAATCCTTCTTCATGACAGGGGTCACATTTGCAATCTTGCACAGTAGCTTGCATAACAATAGATTCTAGTGGCCTAATTTCACCCTTGAGTTCCTGCAAAACTCTCATTGAGCTGCCCTCCACTTGGTAATTTATCTAGATTTATTGTGTCAATTTGGCAGAATAGCTCTGATACAACCACTGTTGGATTTAATAGCATTAATCTTGCATTTCCAGGAACAATGCAGGACTGACCATCTCCCTGTGATCTTCTTCATTAAAAACTAAGGTTTAAGGGGCCGGCCCCGTGGCTTAGCGGTTAAGTGCGTGCTCTCCGCTGCCAGCGGCCCGGGTTCGGATCCCGGGTGCGCACCGAGGCACCACTCCTCCAGCCATGCTGAGGCCGCATCCCACATACAGCAACTAGAAGGATGTGCAGCTATGACAGACAACTATGTACTGGGGCTTTGGGGGAAAAATAAATAAATAAAATCTTTAAAAAAAAAAAAAAAAAAACTAAGGTTTAAGAATTCACCTGTGAGCTCTCATCATTGCATCCTTTGGAGAACCCTCTGTTTCAACTCATCTGTGGTCTATCCTCTTTCTTGAGTTAAATTGTTCTCTCTGATTCGTTGAAAGAAAATTCTATTGCTCTTGAAGTCTCACATATAACACTTCTCAAGTTCTTTGACTTTTGAAGACCACCTTATCACTATGTTGTGCCTATTCTTCCATTCTTTGTGGAGTTTCCTGTTAGTATTTGAACCATGTTTCAGCTTAGGAGAAGAAGCTAATTATTTCCTAAAATAAAATTTTTGATACTTCCAGTTATCCATGCAATTGGAAATGCAAGGGACATGGAATAATTTTAAATAAGGTGGTTTTTACAAAATCATTGCATTTTTATTATAGCCACCTGCTCTAAAATTAGTAAACAGCTTAATAAGTGGTCATTCAAAATTCTAGTGGCACCTATTATAATGATTAATAGTCATTCATTAATATAAGAAATTTATTGTTCACTAACTCTGTGTGAGACAAAGTGTGAGGCACTGGGAATTCAACTAATTCAGAAGACAAGGTCTCTGCCCCCAAGGATCCCACAGTGTGGAGTTGCACGCAGACATGTAAATAAATAAATCAAGGTCATTCAGTGTGATAGGTGGCAAATAATAAGTAAAAGTGAAGGGGAGAGTGATTGCCTTCCCATCCAGGGGGAAAACTGTTCTCAGAACAGAGAGAATGATGACATTGAGCTGAGTCTTCATGAATGGGTGGGAGAGTCCTGGGCAGACCATGGTAGGAAGGGCAGGGGCATTAAACAGTGGGACTGTGGTGTGGGGTACAACAGAAATGGTAGCAGATGATACTGGAGAAAGTTGAACTATATCCTGTAGGCAAATGGAGGCAATAAGCATTTTAAATAATGAAATAATATGGTCAAATTTGTGATATGAGTGTGCAAGCCGAGAGATCATTTAAGTTATTTCAGTGTCAAAGCAAGAGCTGATAGAAGCAATGGCAGTCAGAATGGAAAGAAAGGAATGGGTTTAACATAGAGTTAAGAGGTATATTTGAGTCCCTCAAACATTTGTCCAGGGTGGTAGTGAATTGAGGAAGAGCAAAAAGTCAAGGGTGACCTCCACCCCAGGATTCATTTTTGGGTAGCTAGGAGCATGGTGATTCTGACAACTAGAAGAGGGACTGTAGGTGGAATAGCAGGTTAGTAGCAGGTTGGTCTGAGTCTTATGGGAGGGCTTGGTAAAGATAGTGAGTTCTACCTGGAACATACTCAGTTTGACATGGTATCCAAGTGAATATTTCCAATAAATAATTACGTAAGTCTGGTGCTCAGGCTTAGAAATGTAAACGGGAGAGCCACTAGCATAGGGTTCAGTCAGTTTTGCATTCTGGCTAGCTGTATTTCAGGTACTATGCTAAGAATGACAGCAACAAAGATGAATAACAAATGATCTTTCTCTGGAGTCTAGGAGGAACAAAGCCATGATTATTTATTATATCTTATTCTTCTAATATGTCAGATATATGAATCTTACTCATATAAATGATTTATTCTATATACTAAACCCTTGTCAATACAAATTTTACTTACCTTTCACCCACGTTATTATTTTAAATATCTCTTTGATCATTCTTAAGAGTAGCAACTATCAAAGAAATGAATTATTAATACGGTACACTTTCTGATTCCGAGGATATAAGAATAAACAGTTTATTCCAGCTGGAAAATCATTTAGCTGAAATCTTATAGTTCTTACAATATGCCCTTTATATCACATTTTGTGAAGGACAATTTAGTTATACTTCCTGAATCCATGAAGATTTGGCAGCTCTGGTGTCATTTAGGTAAAAGGAGAACTATTCAAATAGAACTCTTACTTTAGCTCCTTTAAAATACCAACTCCCTTTGAAAAGTAAATGTATCATATAAGCACAGTTGGCTTGTGGGTAGGATAGGATGGTTGAAAAAAAAGTGTGATGAGCGAGTCCCCATAGTTACCCTAACCAAATTCAGGAATTCTCTGACAAAAAAAAAAAAAGATTTTTCTGAAGCCTTGTTTAAATAAATTATAGAGACGGTAGAATCATCATGCATAAAATTATTTTATGAAACTCACAGTGAAAAGCATGTTCTGTCATTTTAATCCACAGTTAAATATCCCTCTGGCTTCCAGTATATGCTTTGAGCAAGCGACATACACAAGGAATAACTTAAAGATTTTGTTATCTCTTGAAAAAAGGAAACGTTGAATAGACAGTTTTCCAGAAATGTGTGTTACATTGTTTTCACAACCTTTTCTAAAGTGGATGTGTTCACATAATGCATGCAGCTACGGTGTCCTATGATTTCGACAGAACAGAAAATGTCAAACCTCGCTATTGGAAGTTCTCCAAATGACATCGTTTCTTTTTTTCTATTCTTATTAAACAGGGAAGGCCATGGTAAAATTTCAGTATTTGCTGTCAAAATGGCTTTAGCCACGTTGTGTGGAGGGAAGATCATGGACAAATTAAGATGTAAGTTATTCTTGATATCTCTCTTTGCTTATCCCTCCTATGTTCCACATTTTCCTCTCCCCTGTTCCTGCCATGTCCTCCTGCCCATTTATGACTTTCCTCATTCTATGAGAGTTGTTTGAAATATAATCTTCATTGATCTTTGGATTTTGTCGTAGAAATATTTTCATATTAGATAAATGTTAATGAAATGAATACTTCGTTTACTTATGGATTATTATTATTTATAACCTGTTGAGTATCACCAACTAGACTGCTTGTGATATTAAGGTAAGATATACATTCTTTCAAGTTCATGGGACTGTATTGCCTTGCAGGAATAAGTCCATCTTCATGAAGGTCATGTTGGGCAACCTTCATTTTTTAGGTAATCTAAAACCAAAGCTCTTGGCACTGTTCCTCATTCTTCTCAGCCAGTGCTGTTCAAATCCCTGGGAACTCCAAAGGTTCCAAAGTAGGCATTGCCAGGGTATAGACATGGGAATTGAGTAGAGACTATAGACTGAGAATTACCTGGATGCCGATAAAAACATGATTGCTCAAGCACATTGAGTAATTATGGGCCTTTTGTGTACATTTTGTCACTAAATGTGGTAGAGTTTTTGAACCAACAAAACAGTGGGGATGTTTTTGTTTGTCGTTTGTTTTAGGTAAAGAAGCTGAGACTCAGAGAGTCAGACTAAAGTAAATCACCTAGCTAAGATGGTACTAGGATTTGAACTCTGACTTTTTTCCCTATACCACTAGTTCTCAAATTTTAGGATATATAGAATCACATGGAGGGCTTTTTAAAACATAGATTTCTGGGTCCCATTCCCAGAATTTCTGATTCAGAAGGCCTAGGGTGGGGGTAGGGGCAAGCATTTTTATTTCTAGCTATTTTAAGATGATGTATGCGCTGCTGTTTAAAAGAAAAATTTCCATTTAACCATCTCCCTTACCTTAAATACAAAAGTGTTGGTTATGATGCTGTGTTGGAAAGAGCACTGTCATGGGATTGGGAGCCCCAGGTGTAAGCCCGGCTATGTGACTGATTTGCTGAGTTATCCTGTGGAAGTTACTTCACTTCTTTGGTTCTCAGCTTCCTTTTCCATCCTAAATTTGGGGATTTAGTTAGATACCTGGAGGGTCCCTCCTAGCCGCAATCATCTGTGGCTCACAGCCTCTGAGCTCTTTCCTCACCTGCTGCCTGTCAGGCCCTGGGTGTGATCTCTTGCTTCTCGATGCACCAAGAGGGGAAGAATGAAGGAACATGCAGAAAAAAACTTTATTCTTTTGGAATTTCCCCAGACATGCTTGGAGGCATTGTGATGTCATTGGACCAGCAGATAAGTGGAAGGTACAGGGAAGCCCCACATAACCACACGTCTTCCCTCACTTCCAGGAACTTCCTTCCACGGAATAGACAAATGCAGTCAGGATTCAGAGACGCCCACGCAGACCTTACAGGAGTCAGTTTAGTTTCTCTTTAGTTAGCCTGAAAGATGTAGAAAATTAGAAACTATTTACCTCAGTGCTTGATTTAGGATAATAGCTAAATTAGAAAGTGGAGGAACCAATGTCATTTTTAAAAAAATAGCTTCAGGGCTGACCCCGTGGCATAGGGGTTAAGAGCGCGCGCTCTGCTTTGGCGGCCCGCGGTTCGCAGGTTCGGATCCCGGGCACGCACTGATGCACCGCTTGTCAAGCCATGCCATGGCGGCCTCCCATATAAAATAGAGGAAGATGAGCACCGATGTTAGCCCAGGGCCAATCTTCAGTGGCAAAAAGAGGAGGATTGGCATTGGATGTTAGCTCAGAGCTGAACTTCCTCACAAAAAAAAAAAAAAAAACACAGCTTCAGAGTAATCCAGGAGGCATTTCCTTTAGGGTTAGGCTGGGAAGAGAAAGTTGAGCAAAATGGACCAAGAAGGACGAATAAACTCCTGAGGGCCTTGCCTTCTGACCTCGGGTCACAATTGGCCACTTACGCTGAGGACATTTATCAGATAAATGTTTTTTAAAAGTTCTTAAAAACATTTCCAAATGCTTATTCAACATTCTCTTAATAGGAACCTGGATTAAAGGGTGCCATATTAAAATAAGTTTGAGGAAAACTGAGAAAAACAGTTTTCTGTGCTTCGGAACTCCTCAGAGCCTTTCATGAACCAGCTTAATTCTGTGCTGTCAAGGATCCAAGTGTCTTCCATCTTCTCACTCAGCTTTCCTCCGTGTCAGATTTTATCCTTCTTCTGGGGGTAAAGAGGGATAGGGCTGTTTTAGGAGTCACATCCACCCCAGAGGCCCCTCCAGCCCTTATGTCTCATTGCCCAAGGTGGCATGACAGACCAATTACGACCCCAATTACTGGTAACAGGAAAGGAATGACCCTGGTGGTCATGGCGAGATCCACTCTCTCCTCCTGAGCTGGGAAGGGCCTCTGCTTTCCCTTAGCCCAGGAAGAAATTTGGGGCCAATAAAGATGAAGGGAATGGTTGTTAGGTAAGTAATGGGCAATGTCTTCACAGTTGCAAAGCTCAAGATATAACTAAGTTTTTGAGCAGATCTTTACCAATTGTCAAACCTTTGCAGTTCTCTTGCAAGTCCAGGAATTCAAAGCAAACAGTGTAACTGCTACAGCGGTTTCTCCTCACCCCATCCCATCATTCACCAAAAACCCCACGATCAGTGAGCAAAGCGTGCATGCTCTCTAGCGGCCAAAGTAAATCTTCTTGAGTACAATGAAAGAAGCAAAAACACGTGAGTCCCATTGGAGGTAAACTAAGTTCTCTAGTCTGTAGGAATAAGCTTCCCAGTGTCACAAATTCTGTAGAAACACAGACAGTGTGATCACGATATATCACCTTGCCCTCTCCCAGAGCAGTGGACCTGAGTCACAGCCTTGTGTGTCCCCACTTCTCTGACTGAGGAGTCACTCTTGGTCGAGTTAATCCCAGGAAGATGGTTGTAGTGGTTTCCAGGTAACTTGGTTGAAAGCAATTTGACCAAAAACAGTTTAGCTGAAAGCAGTTCAGTTTGGTTGGAAGAACTTCTCCAAAATGTTAATTAGTCAAAAATGAGTATTTTTAGTCACCAGTAATTCTAGTTTAAGTGATCATTATTGACTGAATGAGCAAATATGAGCAAATCTGCCCACAGACAGCAGTGGCTGACTCTGGGTGAGCAGAATTGTGGGTGTCTTCTCCAGTCTTCTTTCGCTGGCTTGCATTTCATGACAAAACAGGCAAAGTAATGATTTTCTGCATTGCTTTTGTAATAAGAAAAAATAAAATGAAAGGATATGGAATTTCTCAGGATTTGAGTGGTGTGTTTTGCCTTCTTTAAATTCTAATTCACTGTAAGCCAATGTGCCAGCTGTGCTTGTTTGGCAATTTTTCTGTTTTTGTGCATAGGGATGAAAGATATTTCGTTTGTTCCAACAAGCCCCTTAATGTTGGAGAGCGCAGGGCAAGAGTAATTGGCTGAAAATAAATTAGAAACTTTAAAAAGCAAAAAAGTAGAAAACAGAACATTTAAAGCTGAGTTTTCAAAACTGCTTTAAAATACATTAAAAGAGACAGCAACCTCATGTTGCACCACAATTTCCAATACTCAGGGCCACCAGGAACCAATATGCAGGGTGTTCCTCGGGTACCTCCAGGCAGTCTAGAACATGAGGGTCCCCCCTGCAGTCAGAGGACACAGCAACCTAAACGTAAACTGACTAATATACTCTGTTTCTGTCAAATTGTTCTTGGTCCAATTACAGCCTATTGTTTTAATGGGTCGGGACACTTGTTTATACTTCTGCCTTGGGGCTCCTGGAGAGTCCTAAGATCTTAAGGAATTCTAAATCCAGTGCTGTAAGCCTGGAATGTCAGGTGCTGTTCTAAAGCTTCTAGGGAGGGCTTGTTTTGTTTCATTTAACAGACTAGCATTATGGTAAACACCATGTATTTGTTGAGTTTCTATTACTGAATCGGTTGTTCTGCCTCCCTGCCTACCCTCAGGGTAATAGTTCTAACTCACTGGTCTGCCCTAAATTCTTGAGTATCTCCCTCAACACCTTCTGACACAATCTAAACTCCTTAGTAGAGCTTTTGAAGCTCTTCATATCTCCACCTCACCCATGCCCTTATGTGTACCCAAGGCCTCTGGCACAGTGAACTTGAAGATCCTTGAGTACATCTTGCTTGAGCATGCCTGTGCACGTCCTGATCTGGTTTCCTAAAGCCTGATTATCCCCTAATTGTCCTTTATAAATGGCCTAGAAGTCACACCTATAAGGAAATCTTCCCTGACCCACTCCTCCCTCTGGGAACTCTCTCTGAGCTCCTGCTGCATCCTGTACACACTATTGTTCCCGTGTTCACACCACATTATGATGTACGATGTCATATGATGCATGATATAAGCACGTCTCTATCATCCTCAATAGACTGAGCTCCTAGAGAGCAAGAACTATGTCCCGATTTTTCTGTATATTCATTGCTTAGTACGATTTCACACATTTAGTATGTGCTAAATTAGTTTTACTTTAATGAATCAATGAATGTAAATTCTTCTAAAGTTTCTATCAATGTATGGTGCTATAGGAAATACAAAAGTGGTTTAGAATAGGATTTGGAAGCTTACAGAACAATCCCACTGGGGAGGCAAAGCCTAAACATATGAAGTAAATGACAGAAAAATGTGATATGAAATTAATAATAAAAATAGCCAACATTTCTGTACTGTGTACTAGGTGCCAACCATACATCTTTGTGCTTTTCATCTATTAGCTAATTTAATCCTTGAAATAGCCCTCTATTTTATATAAATACACATATATTACATATTAGGAGCATATTACATATATATATGTATATAAACAGAAAGCCTAGAACTAAGGTACAAACACATGTTTTGATAGCTTCCTCAGTGTCCCCTCATTTCTTTTTAAAAACCTGAGTGGCCATTAACAGCCACTTTTCTTTAATCCCAATGACTTAGCCCTAGTTTGGCTATTGCTTAGCAGAACTTCATCAACACAAATGAGTTTAATATTAGTTTCAAGTTTGTGAAAGGTCACTGTTGGTAGTCCTTCTGCTTTTGCTCTGGTTAGAGATGTTGTCTAAATTATTTCAGTGGGAGATTTGAAAAGCCCAAGCTATTTTTTGAAGTGTGCCGTGGCCTAGAAAATCCAAGCCTAGATCATCAGAATGACCCACTTACAGTTAACCAACCTATCCAAAAACAAATAAGATGGCAGCTCTAAGAAGAAAGTCTATTTACTTCTCCTAGGTTTCTTTTTCCTCCTTTTAGTTGAAATTCTTGAGTTTCTGTATTTAGAATTACATAAGAGTTTTTTTGCTGTTGGCCACTTTTTTTTTTTTTTTTGACTAGTTGTAATAATGCATAACAGATAAAATTCACTAAGTATACAACATGGTAAAAGTGGATGAGAACGACATTAGTTTTTGTTGGTCAGGTAGAATTTCTATAGCCTCATAATTGATGAACTATTTGAAACACAGTGGAAATCCTTTGTAACTGGAGTATTTAAAGAAAATGAGAGCCAATTCACGTCCTTAAAACATAATCCAATAAAAGCCTGTAATATGCTTAACATCTGACTCTGGTATAAAAACAATGTCCCTAGATTATATTATAAGCTTGAAAAATTTAGACCAAAATGAGCAGAGGTAGCACATTGAATTCACAACAGCTTATCCCAGCAGCTGTGCTGGCCTAGTTACAATCTAGCATGGCGACAAACTATTTAATAGCAAACCTATTCGTTCCAATAGTGATTTTCACAAAAGAATTATGAAGTACCTTGGGAAATGATGCCATTAATATTCATTAAGTGCACATAGTGGCAGAAACTGAAGAACAGAGGTTCAATGAAGCCACAGGCTCTGCTGAGAATAATCTGGAACCCTGACTTTACCTCATTGGTCATCCCCAAGGCCAGGCTTCCTCTTGACTACATGAATCAAAAGACATTTCCCCGTAAACCAAGTGCCTTCCACCCAGAAAACTATGATTTATAGAAAGTTTTCTGCTTCTGTGGGAAGTTAATCAAGTGTTTTTGGTACATCCTTATCCGCATTGTCCTTCATTTTTCAATATCTTAAACCAAAACCCAAAAGTTTTATTGATAATATAGATGAGTAAATAATTGGATAGACAGATACACACACCCCAATGTTGTAGTAAAATTCTCAATGTGTATTTCAAACGAGGTCGGAGTATTTCTCACATACACAAAAATTCCTCCCATTGAGTTATATATGAGTTCATAATTGACTTCAAAAGAAAAACGTGATGTTCTCTGTCTTATCAAAATATGCTAAATTTACCCAAATTACTAGTTAATGCTATATGCCAGAATCCTCTACAGAAAGACACCAAAGAAAACACCATGCCAGGAGTATTTCAGCATAAAAATTAGCTTTTATATTATTCTTTCATAAAAAATTATTTATTCTGCCACATTTTTTGTTATTTGCAGCAAATACGTTGAACTAAAACAGTGAGAAATGTTTACATGATGAATAAATATCTTTCTTTTTCCTTCCATCAGATATTTTCTCAATGATTTCTGACTCCAGTGGGGTGATGGTTTATGGACGATATGATCAATTTCTGCGGGAAGTTCTCAAATTACCCACAGCAGTTTTCGAAGGTCCTTCGTTTGGTTACACAGAACAGTCAGCTAGATCCTGTTTCTCTCAACAGGTAGGAAAGACATGTTAAAGAAAGTCTCTCTCAAACAGTGGTTGCTCTCCTTCTGTATGTCACTCCAAGTCACTACTTAGACAAATTCTTCTTCACAGTAACCTGTAGTGTCTCTTCCAGCCTCTGACAAATGACCCCTGAGCCAGTAACTAAACTCAACACACTTGCATAATAATAATAGGAGGTGTTTCCTGACCGTGAACCAGGCACCATGCTAAGTTCTTTACTTGCATTATCTAATTTAATCCTTACAACATCCCTATACCCTCAGTACCAATATTATTATTATCACTGCACTATCAAAAGGGCTGAATTGTCACTCAGCCTCACATAAAACATAAGTCTGACGAGCACCAAGCTTCACCAATGTTTAGCAAAGGAGATGGGAAAGGAATCACAGCACATGCCACACGCAATCTGGAAGACCCAAGCTGTGACAGACACAGCTGCCTAAATCTTCCACAACATGATACTTTGGGGGTTCAGAGTGATATGTTTTAACTGGGGGTCATACAAGTTAGCCCAGTGAAGCTGCTTAGTTTGGAGGGCTCCCTGTTTGTATCTCCCCAGTTATGTAGAAGGTCTCCATGTCCAGCGCTATTCTCCAGCACAGCGCAGTGGTGGTTTACAAATCCATAAATTGAAGGTTGGTTTACAATGTTTTAAAAATCCAAGCTAACCAAGTATGTCCTCTTGAAAGATCCCTTAAATAGGAAGTCAGTGCATAGCAGCCCCTGAAAAGCTGCATTTACTGTCCAGCTAGTAAACTTCATCAGTCTGTTTACTTGGTGATCTAGGAGGTCAAAAGACATCCCTGGGGGTCATGGATTTCTATAGAATCATAAATGTATCCATACAACCCATCAGAGAAGAGATGGTTTGATACACTAAGTGCTAACTCCGCTCCCATGTTGTCTCACCCAGGAAGACTTTCTGACCCTTCCCATTCCCCCACCCCCAGGCTGGCTTAGGAGCATCATCTCTGCCCTCAACTAAAGCATGCTTCTATTTCCCTTTCAAGTTGGTGACATCAGAATGGGTTCATTCACCTAAGCCTCTTGCTACACAACTCCTTCACTCAGAACTACATCAGTCATCAAGTCCTGTTGATTTCACCTTCTAGAAGTTTCTCAGATCTCTTTCCTTATCATCATCTGTTGCCTGGCCTATTGTATTAGCTTCCAAACTGGTCTTGCTGCCTCGGGATTTGTTTGTTGTTTGTTTTACATTTGTTTATTTGTTGTAGGCCCTATTGCATTCCACACTATTTCAGAACCTCATTATAAAAAGGCATTTTAAGAGGTCCTCAAAATGCTTATAGTTCAACAGGATGAAAATACACAACGAGAAAACAAAGGAGGCTTCCTCTCTTCTAATCTATCCCACACAATGCCCCATATGACCATGCTACTCTCCTACTTAGCAGCCTACATTGCCTACAGGATGAGGCTCCCTCTCCTGAGATTGCATTCCAGACCCGTGAGCCCTTCCTTCTCTCCTTCTCCAGCTCATCTCTCCACCCCGACATGGAGTCCTCCATTTCCTGTCCCTCTCAAACCATGCTGTTTCTTTTTTTTTATTATTGAGGTAACATTGGTTTATAACATTATATAAATTTCAGGTATATATCATTATATTTCGACCTCTGTATAGACTACATCGTGTTCACCACCAAAAGTCTGGTTGCCGTCCGTTACTGTACAAATTAGCCCCTCACCCCTTTCGCCCTCCCCCCAAGCCCCTTCCCCTCTGGTAACCACCAATCCAATCTCTGTCTCTATGTGTTTGTTTATTGCTGTTGTTGTTTTATCTTCTGCATATGAGTGAAATCATGTGCTATTTGGCTTTCTCCATCTGACTTATTTCACTTAGCATAATACCCTGAAGGTCCATCCATGTTGTCGCAAACGGCAAGATTCCATTTTTTTTTATGGCTGAGTAGTATTCCATTGTGTATATATACCACATCTTCTTTATCCATTCATCCATTGATGGGCACTTAGGTTGTTTCTTGAATCATGAATTTTGCACATGCTCTGTCTCCAGTATCCTCTCCGTTTCTTGCCACTAACTCCTTTCTCTTGCCCAGATGTCGCTTTCCCCAAGAAGCCCTTCACAAAAAACTTCAAGCCTCCTCCTATCTTAACCAAATTTGTATCTTAAAAAGGTTGCATCCCTAGCACATAAAAGGCACACAACAAATGCTCACTCTACTGAACTTTGCTGATTTAAGCGTTAGTGAGTCTTTTCACTGAAATTAACTTTTAAAATACTGTCAATTATTTCAAACCACAAATCTATTAACCCAATTTTTTTCAACTTCACAGTTCCAACTTTTTTCATGGCCTGCTAAATGTATGGCTCCTTATATTTTTATAGTGCTTTATAATTTACAAAGGAATTTGTCTCATTTATGCTTTGCAACAACCGTATGAGCTAATGAGAAAAATGTTACCCTTTTTTAACAATATGAAGTTCAAAGCTCAAGAGGGCAGGGGGGCTGGATCTTTAACTTTGGTCTTCTGGCTCCAACTCCAATCTGTTAATGTTGCTGTGATGGTTTGTTGTTGTTGTTGCTTTTGTTTTGTACATTGTCTGCTGACATCTACAAATGTGCAGATGATCTGACCCAAGGAATTGTGACCACATGTTATATTAATTCACTCAGAGAAACAAGGATTTTATCTATTGCTGAATTCTTAGCTTTTAGGTATTTAGTATATTGTAGAATCCTCAGTAAATTTACTAATGCCTCGGATTATTTCTCATTCAAAATTAGCTAGAATAATAGGACTGTTTTTTTCAATTTAACGAGACCTGTATATTCAAAAAAAATTATATATGATGTTGCCATTGCTCAAAATTCCTTTTGAAATAGCCTACAGACTGTCCCATTATATAATCTTTTATATATCCTCAATGGTGAGAAATTTATATGTGGAAATCATAACAGTTTTAGCTTCCAGGGGTGACTTTTAGCCAGTACGATAAATGGTCAAAATGGATAAAATCTTTTGAAGTACAAAAAGAGACAACACAAATGAAAAGACCGGTTTACTTTTGTGCTTCATAAACTGGCTATAGCAGCAGTTGGAATGATGAAATTCTAAAATTGTTTGAAGTGCTTCACTGGAAAAGGTACAAACCACCCCAAGTGATTTTTTTGAAAGACAATATCATTTTAGATATGTAAATTGTGGTAGCTTTTTAAAACATACTGTCTCATTACTTCTATTTTACATAATATATCTTTTAATAATAATATTGATATCAATCCTATGAAAAGCTTAAGCTATTTATTATTATGAGGAAAAGCTAAAATTGTAAATATCTGCTGATAAAAAAAGATAAATTAGGGAGCTGGTCCGGTGGCACAGCAGTTAAGTGCGCGTGCTCTGCTGCGGCGGCCCGGGGTTCGCAGGTTCGGATCCCCGGCGCTGCACCAACACACTGCTTGTTAAGCCATGCTGTGGCGGCGTCCCATGTAAAGTAGAGGAAGATGGGCACGGATGTTAGCCCAGGGCCAATCTTCCTCAAGAAAAAAGGGGAGGATTGGCATCGGATGTTAGCTCAGGGCTAGTCCTCCTCGCAAAAAAAAAAAAAAAAAGATAAATTAAAGGTTACCAAAACAGTTGTTTTGTGAATTACAAGGACTAGTGTAAGGTATAGGCCTTGAAAAGGCACTATAGCTCTTCCGGTCTAATTTCTTATCTAAAAACATAAAACTATCTCATTCGTCTTGATATTCTAATTCAAAATTTCAAATAAAGTAGTGATTTTTGCATGTAAACATGATTTTTTTATCATTGATATTATTACAATATCATGTATTAATATAACTTCTTATTTTTGTCATTTTGAAAGAAACTTATAATACATTCTTTTTCTATACCAGAAAGGACCAGGATAATCAGACAGAGCAGACTGACTTGAGAGGAAAGATATATAAAGAAAGGAAAGAAGAGAATTTTTTTAAATTTAGATTGTTCTCTCCTAACAGTGAGGGATTGCTCCCTCCTAACAGGATTCTCTCCTAATCTTGTACAGCAGAACCATTCACATTAACCACAAAGATATATTTAGTACTTGTAGAAATTGAGGAAGTTTGAAAGGGAAGTTGTGCTACAAAGTTAGAAGACCAACTGATACGAGAATTGTCGAGTGTGCTATGACACACTATTGGGTAAAATTTGATGGAGAATGTCTACTCTTCATCATTCCTCACCATTTTCATACTGTCCCTCATTTACGAAAGTGATCCTCTCAGAATTTTTTTTTCTTACGATAATATTGACTGAGCCTCAGTGGAGATAATCCAGTGCTATGTATGTTTAAGTATAAAAAGCAATCAATGTTTTAAATTCAGAACTAGTTTCATGTTCTGTTTCTTTATATATTAGAAGTTAATTGAATGTCTTGTTTCTTCAATCTCAAATGATATTTATATAGCAGGTAAATTAAGATTATTTTCTGTTCTAAATTTTTATGGGTTTTTTGATACAGAAAAAAGTCACCTTAAATGCTTTCTTGGACACGCTCATGTCAGATCCTCCCCCGCAGTGTCTGGTCTGGCTGCCCCTTCTGCATCGACTGGCAAATGTAGAAAATGGTGAGTAGTCACTACCGAGCTAAGGCAATTGTTTAAATTATTGAAATTAGGCCATCAAGTCTCTAGTTATTAAGCCAAGGTCATTGTTTTAGGGAAGTCTGTTTAGTATTTCTGAGTTTTGATAGACCTAACCTCTCTCCTTGGTTGGTAAGGTCTTGTAGGTGCACTGTGAAATTAGGACTGTCGGTTCTAAAAACTTATTCAATTTCACTGTGTACCTCTTAGTGACAAGTCAGATGTGCCTTAAAGACTTGCTACAACAAAAGAAGAACCTCAATAAGGAATGCGACATTATCTAGTATTTGTTTTTAGGTGTGAACTTCCAATATTGGTGAACGTGGCACTGACTATTTCTTCCTAGGCACTCTACCAGGAATGGGTGGAGGAGATGGGAAAAAAATTGGATGATAGCACCTTGCTAATCTTTAGTCGTATGCTCCAAATTGTGAGCTTTCAATGGCTGTACTTATGTGGAAGAAAAGAGTAGTGTAACTTTTGTAACTTTTTTTTATAAAAGCAAGTATTTCTTGGATAAAAGTAATTACTATCAGCAAATCCAAATTTAAATCTGAAATACAGTTCAGAACAAGATTTAAAGAAATTTAAACATGGAACAATTAAGTGCCTCCATCTAATCTTTAGATGTTCTTATTTATTGATTAATTTACCTCTGAGATTTCTCCAGACTTATATAGAAAATAATTTATCCCATATCTCTTACTAGAATCTTAACTTCTAGTTAAGATTAATACACATTAAGTTAAGATTAATATACATTGGGGCTAAAGTTAGCTTAATTTTAAATTCCCATTCAGAACATTTAGCATCTGCCCTTATGATCCCTCTTAGTTAAAAGTTATAAATTTAGCCTGTTTTGCTCATGAAGAAGATTTAAAAAATGAACTTACTAGTTTCTCTGTAATCACTACCAGTCATAGATTTTTTTGTGTGTTTCTTATTCTTCTGCAGAAGCAAAGAGCAATCAAGGTCCACATCATGCAGGATGAGTTCATATTACTGTTTATCATTCCAGAACTAGTCATTTTCCAATCATAAAGTTATAATTTCATTCCTTCCCTCTCAGTATTTCCTGTTGCAAGAGATCAGTTTCTTAGGCCCTGTCCCAGAGCAGTTGTCCCCAGATTCAGGTCTCACCCCAGTCTTTCCCAAGAACCACAACAGGAAAGATATGATGGTTGTTCAGAAGACAGTGCATCCAGACTGCTTATCTCTTTGTTTTTACAATTTGCTTTTCATCTTTATTTATTCTTATTCTAATTATTTTCCCTGGCTGATTAGCCAGAGAATAACTTTACCAAAGGCAAGAATTGTTGTTGTTTTTAATATCTTCAGCTCATTGCATGTAGACAATTACTGGATTTGATCATTTGTTAGTTTCAAATCTCAAATATTTTACCTTGCTTGCTTTATAATTCAAATTTACTGCCAAAGAAAGTTAAGTGTCTCTTGACTATCTGAATGAGAACTGTATTCAGATAATTCACATATCTCTTTGTGCCCTAATCATCTGCCTCTTGGGAAATAAAAAAAATCTGTTTGTTAAGTGGAGGCAATGTCATTCATTAAATAAACCCATTAACCCCTCCATTTTTTAAAAAAGTACTTTGATACTCTCATCCGGTTTTTCTACTCTCCCTTCATTTCCCTTTCTTTCTTCTTCTCATTTTTCCTTTCTCTAATATTTGCTCTCTACTCACTGGACAGTCAGCTGTGTTCATCTACTGTGCTTCTGAGTCTTCCAGTGAGCTGTGCTGGTCTCCTGGAGACAGAGAGCAGTTTGGGGGAAAGGCAAGCCAGTTTGGTAATTCATATTCTTGTAGTGTAAGAAATGAGAGTAGAAAGAGCAAATGGCATTACAGAGATTTGTTGTTAAAAGAATACCTATGCTCCATCCCATTTCATTTCTTCCTTCTCCACACACACTCTTGAAAAGGGTAGTGAGATTCCGGGAATAAACATAGGACTTCTCTCAGCGGAAATTGACTATCATCTGAAGTCATGGCACATGGCAGAAAAATGCAATTCCTGTTAGGCTGTATTTTTCCTTATTCTGCCTCATACTTTTTGTTTTCTTGTTTTTTCTTCATTTACTTCCCCCTTAGTCTTCCATCCAGTTGAATGTTCCTACTGCCACAGTGAGAGTATGATGGGATTTCGCTACCGATGCCAACAGTGTCACAATTACCAGCTCTGTCAGGACTGCTTCTGGAGGGGACACGCTGGTGGTTCCCATAGCAACCAGCACCAAATGAAAGAGTACACATCATGGGTAAGGCAAGGTCCGGGCAATGCTTGCTATTGGATGTGTGAGTGTCGCCCAGACTGCAAGGGAATACCAAGGATGGTGACAGAATTAAGGGGCAAAAGTACCTTCTCCTCTAACATTCCTTCCTTCCCTCTTCTCTCCCACCCACCCAACTTACTGGAGTCTCTTACTTATTGTATCTGAACCTAATGTAGCTTCTTGAGACTTAAACTATAAGACTCAAACTATGTTACTTCTTGGAATATAGATAATTCACTACTGATTTAGATAACAACTGAACAGCAATCACCTTCTGGAACATAATCTCATTTTCACAGTAAGTTAAGGTTCTTTCCAAGTTTTGTTTTGGCTTTCTTTATTTGTGGGAATTGCTTAAAAAATTGTTAGTTTCTTTTTCTCAGATTCTGGAGTTCTCTTAAGTGCATGATTGGAACATAAAGGAAAGACGTGTGAGCATGTGGGTTTAATGATGCTGTTCCATTTTACTTTTTTTGGAGGAGGAGGAGATTGTAGTTATATTAGCAAATCATCTTTTCATGAATAGTGCAGGTGACTAACTTGCTAAAGGCAACCTGGGAGTATCTGTCCATGTGAAGGATATAGTCTTAGGAGCACGTGGCACTGGGTCCATGGGAGGAATTTGACTCCGTGAGCTTGCTGTTCAAATGGTTTAGCTTGCTGACCTCTGTCTCAGCTAAACTTCAAGATCAGTTCCAGTGATGTTGTTCTTGTGCTTGTGAAAGTACTGCTCTATGTATGGATTGGTTTTTGTGGGATGTACCATCAGCCCTGCCACCGTCTTTGCATAGTTCCATCACAAGAAAATGAAAACTTTTTATGAATTTTTTCTGATTTTAATGTATCTTAAATCAGCCTATAGTATTTACTTAAAGAGTAACTTCTTTTTCTTAAACTAAAGTCTTCAGAATATGCATTTTAAATCAGAATGTTCTTTCTAGGAATTATTATTGGGAACTGATATTCAGTGTAAACATATTAATTGTTTAGCCACCTGTCAGATTCTGAATTCAAGTAACAGTTCTTCACTGAGGCATCATATACTGAAGGCCTCATGCCCATTCAAATGCCACTCCTCACTGTTGGTATATCACACACTGAGAATAGATATACTAACATAGATCATGAAATACAATTTAGCATAGAAGACAGGAGAAAATATTTCTATTTTCTTGTTGTCAATGTATTACCAATTTTCAAATTTGTTCTGTCCCATATCCTAGAGGATTGGTGTTTGAAGACAAATCATTTTTAATTGTTGTCTTATGTAAATACTAAAGTCAGATAAGGAGCCTCTTTCTTGAGGGTTGTGGACTCTAAAATTATATGGCAGGGCAATGTCTTTACAAAGTAGGATCAGACTCCTCAAAAGAACAAAGGGGGCCCCAATGTTTATGGGGTGAAGAGCTGTTGCTGTTGCTGCTGTTTTAAGTGTCCTAAGAATTACATCTAGCAAAAGCCAAAGAGGGACTTCTTGAACAACGTTGCTATTACTTAGCTTTTAAGTAATGAGGACAAAAATCACTTCATTATATTGTCAATTATAGACTGTATGTGTAAAAGGAAATGACATATTATAAATGGCTTCTCATGGAAAGGAAAAATTTGGATAAAGATTTACTGCATGTGGAACACTACTTTTAATAATTTTGGCTGTGAAATATTAAGATAAACATTCCACTAGTCTAAATGAAGAAGAAGTAGCATGATGCTCTGGCAAGAACATGAATTTTAAATTCTAAAGACTCAGACTGAAGTTCCACGTGTACTTCTAACTGGATGTATTCGGCCATACCTGAAACATTTTGCACCTGGATTCCTGCAAATCCTCTTGCTCTTTTCTTTCCTTCTACTCCTATCCTCTCACAAACCATTTTCTGTTCTTAAGTGGGAGCAATCCTTCTAGAATCAGGTGTGATCCTGTCACCTGTGTGATTTAAACTCTTCATTGTCTCCCTCTGCATTTGAGATAAAGACCACCGTCCTTGATGTGGCGTATAAGGACTTAAATGATCTGCCTTCTGCTTTCCTCTCCAGAACTGGTCTCTTCCTCCTGCATCTGGAATTACCTTCCCAGGCCCCTGAGTTTCTGTCAGAAGGAATCCTGCTGGTCCATTAAGTCCCAGCTCAGGTGTCCCACATACAATGACTGCTTCCATTTATCACAGCATTTGCTGACACTAAGCGGGAGGCGAGTACCCTGGTGGCTTGTTCCAGCACTGAGCAAACTCCCTGACTCAGAGTAGATGCTCAAAGAGGATTCCATGAAGGAATGAATGAATGAATATCTACTATGAAAGCAAATCATCTGATAAAATGTTATGTAAATGTTAGTTATTATCACTTCTATGTTTCTTCTTCTTTCCAGAAATCACCCGCTAAGAAGCTAACTAATGCGTTAAGCAAGTCTCTGAGCTGTGCTTCCAGCCGTGAACCTTTGCACCCCATGTTTCCCGACCAGCCCGAGAAGCCACTCAACTTGGCCCATATCGTGTAAGTATCTCTAAGCTCCAGATTAAGAGACATCTTTTTTCATTGACACATGTCCTGATCCATACAAAGGCAATTTCATATCAGTTGTCAGGGACTACATTTTAAAATTTAATTTAAAAAAAAAGAGTGAAAGTAATGTCATTTTAATTTTTTCTTGTAGAGGTATACAGTACTTCTGCCCGGATGTATAAGTAAAGTGTACAGCACTAATATAATTCACCTAGAGATGGAATATCAAACAGCATAGTTATAAAATATGGATGTTAGTGGAGTTTGCACAATTGGGCATTAATAATCAGTGGAATTACCACGGTAAGAAAACTTTAAAGCACAGTGGACTTTAACATCATATGTGCTTTGAATCCCAGATATAAAAGCCCTTTGTTTCATTTCTCTGCAGAGCCAGTCATCTTAAAGATGTCAGCAAGCCCCAAATTGTTGGGGGTTTTTTATCCCAACCTGCATAGCTTTACAAGAATCATGGCCTGTGCAGGGGAAGGTTGAAAAGGGGGTTGGTGGGAAAATTCATCAGAACATCCAAAACCAAACTTTAAAAAAAAAATTTCTCTGAAGTATATATGAGTTTGGGGGGCAAGGGGGTTGGGCCAGGGAACCGTGCTACCCCCCACGCCTCCCCCCTCCCAGAAGCCTCATGCCCTAGAGCCTCTCTCAGGCCTGGGTGGCCAAGAAAACAGGGGAGGCTTAGGTAGAATAACATATTTCTTCCTTGGTATTATCTTGGGCTCAAAAGAAGAAAGAAGCTTGTTACTTGCTTCTATGCATAGTTAGGAATGATGTAGTTACAGGTGCCTCACAAAGCCTTGAGAATAGGTGGTTCTCTCCTTATGAACTGCCTTTCATTTTGCACAGTTCAGCGGGACCTACTACACTACAGGGCCTATGTTTACATGTTGACATCAAGAGGTGGGCTGATCAGACCTACCGATATTAGGAGTTCACCAATGCAAAGGTCATGCTTCAGTCAGTTCAGAACATGACCCGTAAGACGCACTGTGGTGGATCTGAGACCCTTATGAAAGCAGTGCCTCTTTCCTCTGATGGACCTAAGCAAGTACCATCCCACGACCTATGCTGCAGCATGTCTGTGAACTTTGTAGAAACACCATGGGGCTTTGTTTGGTTTGCTCCTGAGTGAGGCGCCCTCAGCAGTACCCAGACTGGAGGCTCCTGCTGCTGGCATGGGCTAAGCATCCAAAAAACTAATGAAAACGAGTTCTGTAGAATGTAATTAGCTTATTTTTGGAAATTTTACTCCTAAAAATAAGCCTTTAGATAAACCAGGGGTAAATAAATCTGGGGAGTGTCCCAAAGGGCCAACCACTTGCAGAAAGCAACCTCATATCAGCTGTTCTTCTTAAGTCTCAACTTTCCTTCCCGTAGCCAGAGACAGTCACTAAGTTTTAAATGAACAAAACTAAGTGAGTGCAAGTCTGTGCTCTCTGAGCTCTGCCGTGGAGTCACTTTCTACCAGCCCCGCTAGGAGTTTCACGCCAAGAGAGCAGCGTTCAGTGTGAGCTGATGCTTGTGAGGAAGACAGAAAGAGGGTGGATGAGAACGGCCTGGCTCTAAGAGCTTTGCAGCAGAACGGAATTAGGATGCTGCCTCCCACTTCAAGACAGAATTAGGCAGTTAGGCAGAGTGACATAGTGGTCAGTTTCACGGTCAGTCACGTGGCAGTGCTACCTAGCACAGGGCTTTGTACCCAGTAGGTGCTCAGGATTGGTGTGTGTGTGTGTTATTTAATTGGCTCATAAGTAAAAACTTTTAATTTAGTGGCAATATGAGCTGACGTGTTATTCACTGAACTGAGAGTGATATCTACACAATTTGGTTTCCCTGGAGAGTTTCAGGATTCCCTTAAAATTCTATACAAAATGTGCCTTTTTCTGAGAAAAGTTCCATATATTTAACCAGAAATAGTCCTTAATCAAAATACTGATCTATACTCACTGATAATATATTTTTCCAGTGTGAATGTCTTAATTTTAAAATGCAAATTGTGAAAAATATTCCATTGTGGAAATAACAAACAAGAAATCTGGGTGAAGAGTGTCCAGTCTATATGAGAATAGAATATTTTTTCTGTTTTTAGCTTTAAACATTTTTCTCTATACTTGTTTCTTTACTCAAGCATTGTTGCCCTAAATAGATTTCCATGTCTTTGGGTTTTTTGTTTTGTTTTGAGGGGAATATTTAAGACTTCTACTTTTAAAATATGCTGTTCGTTTAGCTATTCTAAATTATCATAGGCACGTAAAGGCCACTAACTGGCGACATTTTGGTATTTTGGTGTTTGTTCTTAGCTATTGTATTGCTTGTAAATGTTACCGTGATTAACAGTCTCTATTCTATTTATTTTTTTGCTGCCAAAAGTGATACTTGGTAAGTAGTTAAGTAGTCCCCAGTGTACTTACAAAGACTTATAATCATAATTATAAGTGGTATGAGACACAAAACAAGTGTGTGACCTGAGACTAGTTTAAAGCTAATTCTGCCTTGAGCTGAACACTTTCAGTTTACAAAAAGAATGCCAATTTTATAAAAATGTTCTCCACAAAAATCTTGTCCAGAAAGAAAATTTTGCACTAGGCCCCTGTGACTTTATCTTGTGGAGCTATTTCTTTTTTCATAAGAATAAATATTTTTAAAATCTCCAATGTGACCTGTTTATTAGATATGGTACCTTGCCATTTGATTATGGAGGAAATAGTATTTTCAGACCCTTTGAAAGCCATCATTTGGTGCCAAGGTTAGCCATTCTCTGCCCCAAGTTCAACAGTTCCATGATGATCCTTAAACATGAAGCCATTTACAAGAAACCACAAATTCAGCTTTGCAATGACCAGGTTCAATGGAGTAAACTTACCAGCCTATTTAGAAGGTGTTCCAAATCCACTTGTTTTCTCATATCCTAGAGAGAGAGTAAGATGGGAAATTTTTTAAAAAGAAAACCAGAAATGTTGGTCAAGTTGAATTTTTTTTCAACTTTTTGCAAAGCTAAAATGAAGATATTTCATTCTGCTTATTGTTTTAAAATATCATATACCTAGCTTTTCAAAATTCACAGAGGACATTTGTATATTAGCATCCTTCTTGTAAAGTGAAAGTGTTCAGTTCAATGCAGAATTAGTTTTAAACCAGCCTCATGTATCAAAGACACATCCTAGATAAATAATGCAAAGCCCTAAGATATTTTTCAGAACTTCAGCTAATACATTTAGAGTGGCTGAAATAGTGAACCTGCCGCTTTGACCTCATCCAACAAATAACGTGTCTTTAAAAATCTTAGAACACAGTTTAGCACCAGGTACCGGGAGCCAAAAGTTTCAATGAATTTTTGCATATAGTACTGACATTTTAAAACCTGCATACCATCATGTCCATTCCCATAAATACATTGGGATAAACAAGTCTACCGTTTTCCTAGAATCTCTTCATTGTAGAATCCAAATTAACTCTGGCTTCCCAAGATAAAAATTTAACCAGTACCAGTTTTGCTCTTGATCAAGTCAACACAAGTAGATTCTATGGGCTTCTGTAATTAATGTTTCATCTTCAAAAAATTCTATACTGTCAACTCATATATAGATTTATGGTGAAACCAAAATTTCTTCTGACTCAGAATGATGCCCTGCCTCATCCTCCATCTTCTGAACTCTGAATCCCATATCATCTTACCATCAAATATCTTACAGCGAACCTAAAATAAGACTAAAAGCCCACTTGGAGATGAGATAGGGACCTAAGCTCTATCATTTTATTTGAACTAAGACATTAATGATAGGGAAAAAGTGACAGGATGAAATGAAAAATAAGACAGTGGATGACAGACTTGATGTAGTTGGGACTTAGGGCCGTAGACAATTCTGAGGAATGTTGAACTCTATTTTTTTCTCTCATATGAAAAAAAAGTGAAGTTTATGGGATGCCTTGCACCGTGTGCCCCATCATATGGATCATCCAGATAACAGAAACTCAGTAAATCCTTGTGGTGCTTAATTGCATCTTCACTTAGAACAAAGAGCACTTAACGCACAATATGATTTTACAACTGGGTCCTTCCCCACCGGGCATTTTGGGAGAGAGCCATCATCATGGGCAACACAAGAGGAAGTTTCCAAAGCCTCAGGAACTCTTCTCTTTCCAAGAGGGTGTAGATTCTGATCATCATCAAGTTTTCAGAGCTTCTCCCTTTAAAAGGCAGCAGATGTAAGGCTGCCTCAAAATCCTGGCTCCGTTAGAGAATAAGACTCAATGGAACACCAAGGCTCAAAGCTCGAGGATCAACATTCCTGTGGTGTCCAGAAATCTTCCACCCGATGTTTAACAGAGACTCTCAACTCTCAAGGAAATGTAACTTCCCAAAACACCTAAAGAATTTAATTGGAAAATGTAAAATTTTGTGCTGATCCTGGGCAAGATAGAACTCTGTTCTTCCCAGCCCCTTTCTTCGAGGGATGGTGGATAGTTTTTAACTTGTGACTTCTACTTCTTTTAACTTTCTGGCCACACTGTACTTTGTTTTAGGCCACCCAGACCTGTGACCAGCATGAATGACACCATGTTCTCCCACTCTGTCCCCTCCTCAGGAAGTCCTTTTATTACCAGGAGGTAAGTTCCAATTCTAATATAAAATAAGCCCTCTCTTTGGCAATGATCCTTGATTCTATGGCAAGAAAAATGTTCATGTGTAAGCCAAGCACAGAAGCTTATTCTTGGAAACTAGTTGGAAAATATCTCTCCCAAGTTTTCCATTTCATTCATTCAGATTCATTTGAAGAGGGCTGGGATGGCTTTTGGGATTTATGTCACTTCTGCAAACTTGCATTTATTTACAATCCACCCACGGTAAGAATATGGGATATGTTTAAATTTTACCACTGACACACATGCATTCTAGTTCATTGAGAAAGTCACTTTCGTAGCACTCAGAATGGTCCATTAAAGCCAGGAAATTGGAATTTCAAGATGCAATGGGGAGTTATTATATACTTCGGAAACATCTCATAATTTAAAGCTCCAGATATGAAAGAATCCTTTTCTTGGTGAACTCTGGAGTTCCTGAGGCTGCAGGCTGAAGACCAAACCTAGACATGTAGTTTCCACATAAGTAATTTCATGGATAATAGCAAGAACTTTAAAAAAAAAAAAAAAGTGGATACGTGTCTCAGGTTTTAGCACAAGACCCACTCCTATGTGAGCAAAGAACAGGGAATCAGATACTTCTCTAAGAGTTAGCGTTAGATGTCACAATCACAAATATCACAAATAAAGCACCAGAGAATTATTTTGTAAATACATGTAGAAGGCTCACAGAAAAGCAGAAACAAAGGTAAGGAAAATGGGAGTGAGTAGTTTAACAGAGATTTCAAATACTTTCAGTAGGAAAAAAAAACAACCTTATGTTTCAGAAAATGAACATATCCGTCTTTTCCCTGAAGAGGTTTCTGAGGTACCAGTTTCAATGTAATGTCCTGGTTCATTCTAGTGAGGATTTAAAGACAGTGAGACTCAGAACACTGCTGATTTTTTTCCCTGAGTTCCTGTATTTGCCCATCGGCAGGAACCTGAGAGGAGGATGTTCCCCAAAATTGTAATTAGCAGAATAAACAGAATATAGCAGTTTATGGTCTTTCCTTCCTATGAATTAACAAGTCTATAACAAGTGGCAATGAGGAGGCAGCTGAACTGCAGAACATCCACAGTGAAATAATATGGTTTCAGCCCCCAGTATGTTCCTTTCAGCACTCCTTTTCAGAACCACCAGCAAATGTAACCATCTTTCCTAAAACAAAATCATAAACTATAAAGTCCATGAGAGACACGAGCTTGTGCACTATCTAGGGAAGATCTGGTGTGATGTTAAGAAAGATGTTGTGCTTTTATTAGGAGGCTCTGCATTCTGCAAATATCAAGCAGAGATAGACCCCATCCTTACTGAAGGTCATTTTATATCATTTCAGCTCGGACGGTGCTTATGGTGGATGCGTCTAGATGGATAACATGGCTTCCTCTACTCTAAAATATTCCTATAATACTTTGAGCTGTTCTGGTTCCTCCAGGGTGCATGGTACCCATTAACCCAAAATATGACCATTTCCCTCTTCTTCCCATTTTCAGTCCTTTCGGAATGTTCCCTGTGAATCACAGACATGTTGTTTAAAGTTTGCAGTTCTTCCTATCACTGTGGAGACTGGCCTTGGTTTCTGTTTTAAGGGTACTGTTCAATAAAGCTGTGTACACTGAACATCTTTCCTCTCTGAGTGGGCCTTGCTCTGTCCATGGGAGGTTTTAATGAGGTCTCATTGTTTGAATCCCTCAGGTTACCTGAGGGGATAAGTGCATCCAGCCCTGTGGCTGAGGAGCATTCGCTCATAAAGCTGTATGTAAATCAGCTCGACCACCATGCACGGTCAGTATCCCAACCCTGAATCACTAATTGTAGTAGTAGTTCCATAGCTAGACTGCTAGTCATTCTACTCCATCACTAAAATCCTCTTGTAGTATGTCTGAGTGGAGACAGAAGTCTTCTGGGATATCATGAGGTTCTGTGAGAAGTTCCAACTTGAGCTGGACTTCTTAGCTCTTTCCTCTCTTTTCCAATTATTTTGTTTGTTTCATGGCCTCCTACCAGCATATGTGAGATGTGTATATGTGAAGAGTACCAAGCTGGATCTTCTTTGGGTGAGTCTCTGCTTTTGTACAGTTTGCAAGACCCCAGATGGTGATGTCTTAGACTCTTGAATTAAAGAGCCTTTTGGAATGATCTTTACCACTAACTGAGGCCAGGACAATGTCACATGACTCAACCATATTGCAGTAAAAGACTTGAGGACTTATACATTTTTGTCCCCCTGGGCCTGGGCCATTTCTTCCCTCAGGTAGGACAGTCTGACTCCTATTGAAGTAGTGATTTCAAAACCAGTCTCATGTTATTAGTGCTTAATTTCTATCACTTGATAATACTGGTGGTGATCCATTGTTTATTTCTTAACTATGTCCATACACTAAGGTTGATGGAAACTCATCATGCCAAATGTAGGCATGAGTTAAAAGTCCTATTCTCCCTATGACTGGAACTGAACCAAAGAAATAGGACCTAGAGCTCTGCCCTTACCCACCTGACTACCCCTTTTAAAATAAGATAAAACCTAAAACCTAAACAAGCTAAGAATGGTGTTGGTCAGTGTTAAGGCAGCATTGGGAAAGTAGGGAAGTTTAATATCTGCAGTGCAGATATTTTATATAGCCTGAGTTTTCAGTCTTTTGTCTTGTGACAGATCTTAGAAAGATAAAGCAGAATGAGGATGAATTGAAATCACTTCTCCAGAATCCTTGCTACAAACTCCTGGCTGCTCACCTGGAGTCCTTTACAAACATACCACTTTGATCTTCAGTGGGCACTAGGGTGTATCTTTGAAGTCTTTTCACATCCTAGTAATCTACCTCACACAGATTTACAAGTGTGTAACTCTGGTTGCCACCACCATCTGTCACATCCCCTATTCTTATATCCATTTCTGGCTATATACTTGATTCACTTTTCCCTGACTTAAAAGAAAAGAGGGAATTCTCAAAGGCACCTTTTATTAACTTTGAAGTCTGTGTGTATGTGTGTGTGTGTGCTCAATCCTGGTTAGGAGTTAGGTACAATGTGGGTCAAATAACAAAATTCATGCACTAATTCACCTCATTCATTTTCTTGATCATAACTTTATCCCTAAACCTAGATTGTTTTCTTATAAATACATGAATTTATAGGAAAAAATGGCTGGATCAATGGATATCTATCATCACCACTAGGAAAAGAGCTCCAAAGGCTATGTATGATGGGCCAGCAACATTCTCTAAGATTATGAAAGATAATCTATCATTATTGCAAATATTATTGCAAAGGCTGACACACAGCCAGGCCCAAAAGACCCTTTCTCCCCTTCACTGCCCATGGCATTGTGCCTCTGAGTATCTGCTATCTTTGTTGGCATCATGCCCACTTTGAAAAATCTTGCCAAAATCCTTGCCTAGTCTATGTGAAAGAGTTAACCAGTCCTTTCCTATGTAAAATAAATTTCTTTGATTATGGCCATCTGCTTCATTAGCCGCAATAAGGATGCTCTGAGAGTTTGAATGGCTAGATTCTTTTACTTTCAATATCAGAAATATCACTTAAAGGTTTCACAGGTATTTCCATAGTTGCAACCTCTAAAGTAGTAACCATTCCCAAAAAGAATCACATTGGCTATTCTATGTAGCATCTAGATCTTATCACTCTCTAAAATATTAGAAAATTGCTTATGACTCATAGAGTGTATTGAATGCAATGTAGTATGCTGTTTTCTGATTTGTCACAATAACATTTGGTTAATTACTAATACTATGTTCAGCTGAATACTGCATACAGGGAGGGCACGCCACCCACCCTAAGCACTTCCCAAATCCTGAGTCTTCCCAATGGAGCAATACTTGTGAGTTATTTTTGTTGGTTAACTGGTTGGTCAGTTGGTTGATTGGTTTGGGTTTTCAATCACAGAAAGGCTAATTCGTTGTGTCTTTTTCAGTTTTTTCAAACACTTGGCTTACCCCAACATTCTTTACCTAACAACCCAGATTTTTAATCTAACTTAAAATGTTCAAACTAAATTTTAAGCGTTTGTGCTTTGGTAATCAAAAGTGAATTGAAATAAAATTGAGGTACTGAATTCAGCCTTTGCTTCTGAAAATCAAAGTTTTCTCCATGATTAACTTTTTCTAAGATTAAAGCCCATCCCTTTTCAGTCAGGAAAACAGATAAATCTATAAATCAACATCATAAAATAGATAAACTTATAAATTGGCCACCTGAAGATTTCTTCACTCTTTTCATACTTTTTGAGTATATTGTCCGAAATTTCATGAAGTTTGAAATAGTCACTCTCTGCAGATAATCCTTTATTCCGTGTAGCCCCAGAAGTCCACTAATAAAGCTAGATTTTTTTTTCAAACTTGAGTTTAGCTGGTCTTCACACTCAACTCTATTTCTTATACTAAAATGTTAGTGCATAATTAAAGCCACAGTCAGCTTCTTCATCACCTCGATAACCTTTATTCTCTTACTAGAGTTGGTTTAGCTGTTGTCTGTGTATGCCCTGTACCCAGCAAACTTTTCTAGAGACTCTCTTGGCAAAAATACAATTGATATGGCTTGATGATATCTGGAGGACAACACAGTAAATGCAGTGAATCAAATATGAGCTAAGAATTCTTGTTATTTCTTCCGTGGTACCTGCTTAAGATGGTTCAACTTTCATGCCAGCCTGAACTGATAACAACTAATTTCCCCACTGAGAACTAAGTTATTTGTTAGGTTTGTTTGCTGATTTGCATGTGGCAGATATTTTGTGTTTCAGATCTAAGATATTGAAAGCTAGAAAAACAAAGGGAAATAGAATTTTTAAAGAAATTATCTCTTGACTAACTGACTTGTAGACGCTTTTATTGTATTTAAATTAGTTTGATGACTTTATTACTAGACTGTGTTCATTACAGTGAGAAGCAAATATTATTCACAACTGACAGTTACGTAAGGAGGGAGCCAACCGTACAGGTCATTCTTCACAAGCCTAAACACAACA